CCCGCGCGCCCCCGCCTCCAGCCCACACTAACCAATGAACGCCGAGCCGGGCGGAGGGGGCGGAGGGAAGCCAGGACGGGCGCGCTCCAAACGCGGGGCGGGGCGTGAACTGGAGGGCTGGAGAGGCCAGGCCGAGGCACGGAGCGGCAGTGGGCGGGCTTATAGGAAATGAAGCATGCCATTGGCTGAGCCGAGAGGCGGGACTCCGGGACTGAGCCCAGGCTGCGAGGTGGCCAAAGGGGTCCCTAGTGCTGGTTGGGGATCACAAGGACCGACAGTGTACGCCCCCTATCTGGAGTGGGAACCTGGGATTAGAGAACTGAGGAGGCAGCGCGGGACCCGAACGATTTTTACTCAGGAGGCCCAGGTCCGTCCCAATGCCTGCCTAACACGTCCTAAAGGTGCCTTCTAAAGGCCGAACCCCTGTGAAGAAAGTGAAGAAATCTAGAGGGCTGGCATGTTCTAAGAATGGAGAAGGCACACAAAATTTCAACAGAGGAGGAAAATGGCCTAAGGAATGTCAGAAACAGAGAAGCCCAGATCCACTGGACCAGATCTCGGGAAGGTCTTATCAGTGAAGGAGAAAAACCCAGGCACTGATGAGGCTACAGTCTGGAAACGAGGCTCCATGTGCCCACCTCACACTTGTCCTCATGAACAGCATGAATGTGTAAGAAGTGACAGCAGATGGAGAAGCTATCTGTTTGGGGGAAGGGCCATATGTACAGGTCCCGCAGTGGATGATCGGGCAAGGAAGTGAGAAAGGGGAAAGCCAGTCACCTCCAGCATACTGGACTCACTTTAGTACACCTCCAACAAGTCCCAGAATTTCAACCTGTTTTACCTGGAGCCATGTGAGTGGCTCCTTATAGGTGGATAAAGTCAAGTTCAAACCCAAGATTAGGACAAATCATCAGATATTCAAACTTCCATATTTCTTGGCCCAGGGCAGATGTTGGACACAGGTATGGTCAAAACAGAGGGGGCCCCTGCCCCTTGCTGGCAGAAGCAAAGATACCTATCCAGCACTGCCCTTGGCATTTGTACAGTCCTGGTGACACATGCCCAGCACTCAGTACAAGATCCAGGCCCAGCCTTCTGCCCCCACACCAACCCCCACACCAAATCTGCCTTGGGAGTCCAGCAAGAGCCATGAGTTGGGCAGGTCCTTAGGGAGGGAATTCACAGCCAAGTGCAGAATTCCTGCCCACTGTCCACCTGCATCACCGTTAGACCAGGAAAAGTTTGTGAGAAAAGCGAAGGACAAGAGGTGAACAGACCAGCTGAACCCCACAATGAAAGCACACTGGTAACCCCTAAACGTACAAACACTGTGCCAGAGAAGGTAAAGGACCCGAAGAAAATAATCCTTTAAAAGATGAACCCTCAGCTGGGTGTTGGTGGTGCACACCTTTAATCCTGGCACTCAGGAGGCAGAGGCAGGCAGATCTCTAAGTTCGAGGCCAGCCTGATCTACAGAGCTACATAGAGAAACCCTGTCTCGATAAACAAAAACAAAACAGATGAACCCTCACCCATCTTGGCCCTATTCTATGCCTTTGAGGGCTGCCTATGTGACAGCATTAAGAGCTAAAGGGGTGGTGTGTGTGGGGGGGTTACAAATGGTTTCCTTATCACTGGCCCATGAAGGGGTGGCCTTCTCCATTGCCTTCTCCTACCTTAGGGAACTACATTACCTACAGGATTCCCTACATTTTGCTCCCACCTTTGTTTTTCACCCCTTTATCAAGACTTCTGATTATCCTTAATTGAGTCTACCATCTGTTTCCTGTCGGGACCCTTGACTGATAGAACCACCACCCTGGATCCCCTGGATTGACCTGGTTTGCAATTATGAGCCATGTTTCTATATAGCAGTTTAGTTTTTAGTTTTAGAAATGTGGGCAGACCTTTGGGTCTCAGCCCTCTCTTACCTCAGGTTGGAGCCAAGCATGAAGCCTTTTTGTTCACTTTTAGTTTGCTCCAGTACATGCGCAGACCTTCCAGGTTCTAAGTCCAAGTGGCTCAGGTAATAGCCTCATTTCCCCCAGAGCACTACTCCTTTGTGACTTCACCCACTGAAGTCACCCCCGGAGACAGTGCTGAGTGTTCCATGCTCGAGTCTTGGCCTCTTAGGAGGCAGGGACAGCAGGCCTGGCCAGCTCAGAGGACTCTCTGTCCACAGTGTAAATGAGGACGCTGCTGGCCCATGTCTGGCAGGGATGTAGAGGGCAGCCTCAGAGGCACTGGGCACTCCCGGCACCATGGATGACGCTGCCGTCCTCAAGCGACGAGGCTACATCATGGGGATAAACTTGGGAGAGGGCTCATATGCCAAAGTCAAATCCGCCTACTCTGAGCGCCTAAAGTTCAACGTGGCGGTCAAGATCATCGATCGCAAGAAAGCCCCCACGGACTTCCTGGAGAAATTCCTTCCCCGGGAGATTGAGATCCTGGCCATGCTAAACCACCGCTCTATTGTCAAGACCTATGAGATCTTTGAGACATCAGATGGCAAGGTCTACATTGTCATGGAGCTTGGGGTCCAGGGTGACCTCCTGGAATTCATCAAAACTAGAGGAGCCCTGCAAGAGGATGATGCTCGAAAGAAGTTCCATCAGCTCTCCTCTGCCATCAAGTACTGCCATGATCTGGATGTCGTCCACCGAGACCTCAAGTGCGAGAATCTTCTGCTTGACAAGGACTTCAACATCAAGCTGTCTGACTTCGGCTTCTCCAAGCGCTGCCTGCGGGATGATAGTGGTCGACTGACATTAAGTAAGACCTTCTGTGGGTCAGCGGCTTATGCAGCCCCCGAGGTGCTGCAGGGCATCCCCTACCAGCCCAAGGTGTATGACATCTGGAGCCTGGGTGTGATCCTCTACATCATGGTTTGTGGCTCCATGCCCTATGACGACTCCAACATCAAAAAAATGCTGCGAATCCAGAAGGAGCACCGAGTCAACTTCCCACGCTCTAAACACCTGACTGGTGAGTGCAAGGACCTCATCTACCGCATGTTACAGCCAGATGTCAACCGGCGGCTACACATTGATGAGATCCTCAGCCATTGCTGGGTGCAGCCCAAGGCACGAGGTCTGTCCTCTGGAGCCATCAACAAAGAGGGGGAAAGCTCCCGGGCCACTGAATCCACATGGACCCCTGAATCCACTGGTGCTGATAAGAAGTCTGCCACCAAGGTGGAGCCTAGGGAAGAGGCACGACCTGAGGCCCAACTTGAGACAAAACCTCAGGAAGACACTGTGCAAGTGGCCAGGCAGGCAGAGACCGTAGGCCTCACCAGTGAACTGAACAGGGAGTCAGAGGAAGGGCACCTCCAACAGCCTTCAGAGACACATACCTAGTGAGCCTCTTGCAGCCCAGGGGGCCAGCAGGGAATGAGGCAGAGCTCATGGCTTGAAGCCTGAGCCTAAAAGTCAAGGGACGAGAGAGAGAGAGAGAGAAGGAAGACAGTCCCGGATGAGCTGCTATTTTCGTCACTTTCTTCTCCCCCCCCCCCCTTTGAACTTGGTAACTCACATGGCTAAAGAAGCAATAAATCCCTATATTGGTGCAGATCCTAGTCCTGGGCTCCCCTTGGCTTCCTGTTAGACTGCAAATCCTCATTCATAAGGAAATCCATTCCCACGCCCCCAGCCTGCACTGTATTCTCAGACCATGGTTGAGTTAGCAGTACCAGTCAGAGACAGATTTGGGGGATTAGAAGGGGCAGAGGCCAGGGAAGACAGCTAAGGAAGGAAGACACAATTTTTAGAGGGAAGCCAAGAAGTGCAGGGAAGGGTGGAGAGAAGGCAAGGAGAGGCAGTCCAAGGAGGATGAATACAGCTGCCTGAAAAGGAAGGGCTGGGAGCCAGAACCCTCTCTTGCACTGGAGGGCTTGCACTGTCTGCATCAGGGGCTCAGGGTCTAAGCAGAAGCCCCATTACACTGGGGCTTCTGACTGCACAAACCTGCCTGTGAGGGGCAGGGGGAAGACTACAGAAGGCAGGTTGATCCCCATGGTACCTTTTGGGCTTCCCAGTTTGCTTGGCAGTGGCTTTTACAGCTCTGCCCATCATGGGGCATGTTCCTCTGGGTCCAGCTGGCACCTAGTTCTCAACTGTGCCCTTAGTTGCTCCACATCATCATTTCTCAGCCCAGAAGTAGGGTGCTCCACTAGTTAACCCAAGCATGTCCCTCAGCCCTGTACAGCTTTGACTGCATCCCATTCCCTTCCAATCTCAGTCCGTTCCAGAGGAGATGCCCCCAGCCAGAGGTGCAAGCTGATCTTGACAAAGCAAAATGGCAGCATGAACCCTATGGGCAAGGAAGGCAGCTACTGTATTCCTGCATCTCACACCACTGGCTGCCAGGTGCAGCCTGCCTTGCTTACACCAAGTCCCAAGCAGTCCTCACCTTGCTGTTGTGGCCCCTTTCTCTTCACCTCACTCTGGGCAACCTCATGGAGGTCTAAGGGTTTAATACACAAAAATAAGAACATTTATACTCAACTCAACCCTGCCCCCACCTATGCCGCTACCTTGGGAAAACACCAACACCAATTTACCCCGGAAAATTGGGATCTAGTGAGTTTCTGAATGTTCCTCCTGCATCCCCTGCCCCACATCCAGCCCACCTTCACCTCACTGCTGTTCCACCCATCATCTCTACATCATCCATTCACAGCTATACCTAGGCTATCGCCTACCACCCTCAGAAAGGATTTCAGTGCTAACTTCTGATTTGCCCATCAACACCCCCTCATCCCCACACCCCAAAACATTTGCCATAAGCATACTTGCCAATTCACCTCTGAAGACTGTGCCCATCTCCCTGGGCTCAGCCAAAGGACTTTGTCCTCCTCAAAGCCTTCTGGGACCAAGCAATGCTCTGTAGCCTGCTTCTGTGAATTTTGCCTGTGAGGACCAAGTATCCAGGGTTGAGGCACAATGCTGACCCTGAACAACACTGGAGAGAGTGACATTGAGAAGCCCCATGAAGAAACTTGGATGGGGCAGAAGGCTCTAGGACATAAGGGGCTGGGTGGTGGGGGTGCCCTGAGAGGTATGTAGGCTCCTCCCATCTCATCTCTGTAGTCTTCCCATGGTTTTGGGACAAAGGACACCAACAGGACCTGAGGCTGCTTGAAATTCAAGTGGGAGACAGTTGGGGTAGGAAGAGATGCAAAAGCTCATGCTATGTGCATCACAGGTGTAGAAATACCTCAGAGAAGGTGGGTTTTACCAGAAAGCACAGCACCTAGAGTAGTGTGCACAAGTGACTGAGCCCAGTCCTCCACAATGGTCTTATCCTGCAGAACTATTCATGTGGGCTGCTGAAGCTGACTCAGTCACCTGTAGTGGTGCTCAGGGGCTTTATGACCAGGACTACAAGGTGATGTCTATGGCGTATTCTTGTTCCCCATATCATCTTTTCCCTCTTTGTCTACCTGGTGGCTCATCTGTACCTGGATTAGGTCACTTCCTCTTTGAAGCCTTCTGTCCCACCTCCCCCACCAGAAACAGGCCTTCTTGCTTTCCCTCTGAACACAGCATCCTTGGATCGAGTCTTGGCAGCTCACTGTAAGCATAAGACTTCTGTGAGATGTGAAAATGAACACAGGACTTCTAAAGTAGCCAAGATCATACAGGATGCCACTTTGCAAAACAAACATTCACGCACAAAATACAAGACAGTCCAACATGCAAACAGAGCAATGCCACAGCACTTCATGTGATCCTTGCTCCCTGCTCATAAAACCCCAAGGTGGGAGGATTATGAGCCCCTGCCCCGAAACTTGCTCTTTGTGGACATGTTAAGGGCCATCAATCCCTGGGCCATCCAGCACCAAGCCCAAAACAGTGCCCTCCTCCTGGCTGGCTGTTCCCAACTCCCCACCCTTGACCCGCAGAGGACTGCTCTGGTCCAAGGCCCTGGGCCTTCATCCTTCATATGCATCCCAAAGCCAATGGACTTCTCTAACAAGAATCATCTTAAAAGGGACTTGGTTTGTGTAAGACCTGCCCATCATTTAGAGTCTTCTTTCCAGACTTATACCTTAGCCATTTTCAGCACTTGCTTGCTTGAGTATCTCACCAACTTTTATATCTGGTTGAAACCTGCCCTATCCTCCACACCTGCCCCACCCCACTGAACATGCACCTGCCTACCCTGGACCCTCAGTACATCCCCTAGCAATACCTACCCTCCCACCCGCCCCCCCACACATGTTCACCAGGGCTGTGGCTCATCTGCCCACTCTGCCCATAGACCCTTGTCAACTCCTGACCCCAAACATGGAACTGCTTTCATCCAGCAGACTGGGACCACCACTGGACTGACTGGACTTGGGCAGCTTCCATTGATTCCAGGGGCACAAGCTCACAGGTTTTCTTCAACCCCCCCCCCCACTAACGGCAGGGAATTGGCTTTAGTGAAATGAGGACAAACACAGGATCAGTTCCCAAGGCCTGATAAGGAAACAGGCCTAGGAATGGACCTGGATCACCTCCCTTTGGGTCTCACAGGTGACTATGAAGCCACAGTAAAAAGAGGGCCAGGGAGGGTTACCACAGGCCTGAATGCCAGCTTCATTCCAGTGGGTAGGGAGGGGGTGCTCCTTCTAAGCCCTCCTGCCTTCCAGGGGCCCCATTCCCCACAGCCTAGTCCCCACTCCCAGCAGCCTGGCTTTATGACTTCATTCGCTGGTCACTTAGTGACAATGCTGAGCGTTCCACTCCTCCAAGTCCAGGCCCAGCCCAACCAGACGCCTCCCCACAGTGGGAATGAGGACAATGCCTGCTGGCCCGTGTGGGGAGGGGATGTAGAGGGCAGCGGCACCAGCCGCTCCTGGCACCATGGACGATGCCGCAGTCCTAAGGAAGAAGGGTTACATCGTAGGAATCAATCTGGGCAAGGGCTCCTATGCAAAAGTCAAATCTGCCTACTCTGAGCGCCTCAAGTTCAATGTGGCGGTCAAGATCATAGACCGCAAGAAAACACCCACTGACTTTGTGGAGAGATTCCTTCCTAGGGAGATGGACATTCTGGCAACCGTCAACCACCGTTCCATCATTAAGACCTACGAGATCTTTGAGACCTCTGATGGACGCATCTACATTGTCATGGAGCTGGGAGTCCAGGGCGATCTCCTCGAGTTCATCAAGTGCCGAGGAGCCCTGCATGAGGACGTGGCACGCAAGATGTTCCGCCAGCTCTCCTCAGCCGTCAAGTACTGCCACGATCTGGATGTCGTCCACCGAGACCTCAAGTGTGAGAACCTTCTGCTTGACAAGGACTTCAACATCAAGCTGTCTGACTTCGGCTTCTCCAAGCGCTGCCTGCGGGACGGGAGCGGACGCATTGTCCTCAGCAAAACCTTCTGTGGGTCAGCGGCTTATGCAGCCCCCGAGGTGCTGCAGGGCATCCCCTACCAGCCCAAGGTGTATGACATCTGGAGCCTGGGTGTGATCCTCTACATCATGGTCTGTGGCTCCATGCCCTATGACGACTCTGACATCAAAAAGATGCTGCGCATCCAGAAAGAGCACCGAGTGGACTTCCCACGCTCCAAGAACCTGACTGGTGAGTGCAAGGACCTCATCTACCGCATCCTACAGCCAGATGTCAACCGGCGGCTACACATTGATGAGATCCTCAGCCACTCATGGCTACAGCCCCCCAAGCCCAAAGCCATGTCTTCTGCCTCCTTCAAGAGGGAAGGGGAAGGCAAGTATCGAGCTGAGTGCAAGTTGGATACTCGAGCAGGCTCAAGACCTGAACACCGGCCTGACCACAAACTGGGGGCCAAACCCCAGCACCGGATGCTGGTATCCCCTGAGAATGAAGACAGGATGGAGGAGAGGCTGGCTGAGACTTCCAGAACTAAAGACCATCACATCTCTGGAGCTGAGGTGGGGAAAGCAAGTACCTCATAGTGGAGCGGGCCCTGGGGGGTCATGGTGTGCAGTTTGCACTCACATAAGTTAAATAGGCAGGTAGGAGCTGAAGAAGGCACACGCGCAAGGAACAAGTAAAATCCGTCAATTAAACCACTATTTTGATTACGTTCTATTAGCTTTCTTCCACTTAGTAGCAAAGACATTAATTACTGACCACCAAATAAACCACAAAGTGTATACAAGCATTGAGAGTGCCCAGTGGGGAGTCTTTTTCTCTAGGACTCATCCAGCGCGGGGATCTGCAGCATAGGGGTCCAGGAACCTGTACGCAGGCCCAGGCAGACTCAGTGAGGCCTGTAGCAGAGGGGACCTCTGTCACAGTTCTCTTGCCAGGCTTACACTTGTCAGCCTCTGGCCTTCTCCCACCCCCAAGACTTCCAGGCCTGGACAGCTGGACAGTTCCCTTTATCTAATGCAATATAAACCACCCTGACCCTGTCTTGTTCTTACTCAGTGGTCAGTATTCATTAACATCAAAGAGGCAAAGTTAGACAGCTTTGCTGCTCAAGCCTCACCCTCACCATTCCCAGGAATGGAGTGGCCCAGTTGACAGCTTGTTGATATTGTCCCCATCCTGTAGACCTGCCATGCACGACCCCTAGCATCTCTCAACCAAAGTGCCTAGATGCCATGTCCTGGTTACCATCCCTCCTAAGGTTCCCTCACACTGGCACAGGCTTGAGTGGGCAGCACCCATCCTCCCCATCTTCCCACTTACTGGGGGAATCCCTTAAAGCTCAACCTTTCCTGAGACAGAAGGGATCTCAGTTCCAGCCCTGGGAGCCCACAGGAACCCACTATGGAGAACTACTGGTTAGCAGAGGCCTGACCTAGTTTGTATCTGATGACATGATAAAAACTTTAACCAAAAATAACTTAGGGGAGGAATTGGTTTATTTCAGTGCACTTCCAGGTCACTGAGGGAAGCTGAGGCAAGAACACAAGTAGGAACTGAAGCAGAGACCATGGCTTCCCGGCTTCCTCTCTATCTCACTCCTAGACTTCCTTACACAACCTAGGTCCATGGCCCAGGGATGCTGCTGCTGGGCCTTGCCCTCCTACATCAAATGCCCCACTGACATGCCCTCAGGCCATTCTGATAAGTGTTAATTCTTCAATTGAAGTTCTTCTTCCCAGGTAACTGGCCGTGTTAAACACTAGCCGTACAAGGCCCAAGGCAGGAGGTGATCTCTAGAGAACACTAGGGCGGAGGCCTGAGAGTACCAATGCCAGCAGACAGGAAAGGTGGCTCTCATGGAATCAAAGTAGGATCTGGGGCTGAGAAGTCAGGAGTGCTTTAGGCCACCTGAATAGCTCAAGCCCTGGGCTGCTCAGAGGCCAAGTCCTATGACACCACCAGTGGTCTCAAGACTGCTGGCTGGGGAATTAGATCAGTCTCTGACTCTGTTAGGCCCAAACAGCAGGGACCATTCACCTCTGTAAGGCATAGGCTCATAGGCTGTTGACCACTAGTCACTTGAGGGCTAGCTACCCTTAGTTCACAGGCAAATGGCTGGCTGCTGGTGCACACAGCATTTACAAGTTTGCAGGGAACCAAACTCTTTTCATAGTATAGTTCAGACTGAGGTAAGGCTGGTGTCTTGGCAGAGCCCAGTAGGAAGTGCCAAGAACACTGAAATAAGCAGAGATTAGGACAGGGAGGCAGCCTAGCCTTACCTGAGCTGGAAGCTAGGTGCTGGGGAGGTAACAGCTGAAGTCACAAAAAAGTGACTTGTCCTACTGTGAGCCTGATAAGCAGGACCTACCTGGGCCTGTTACCAAAAACCTAAATGATCAGGCCAGGCTGGGAGGTTGTAGAGCTGGACCTAGAACCCATGAGCTCAATGGCACAACTTTTAGGGTTTGTGCTACTCTTCAACAGTGGAAGGCTCAAGTGTAAACTCAGCAGAGAAGGCAGCTCTTTGAGCCACACAGTTTTCTCTCCAGAGTCCATTGCTTCTAGCCCTGAGGTCCCAAGATACCCAGGTGGCCCAGGACATGGATCAGCAGCCCGGCCAGAGGGTGCCAGGTGTTCTTTAATGAGGGTTCAGTTGGGAGTTAACTAGAAAGCAGTTTCAGTAGGGCCTTGAGGGACAGCACCAGTGCTATACTCCCAAGGGAGTGGTCAGTGTAATGTGCCAACCTGGCCATGGCACGGCACTATACACTTGTGGTTCCTGGGATAACCAACTGCCCATGGTATGGGTCTCCAAGGCCTGGAGTTGTCTAAAGAGTAGATAGCTGCCCTACTCGTTCCACAAAGTGTCCCACAAAGCATCCACAGGTCCAGCCAGGCCTGGCTCTAAAAGAAGTCTGAAGCTTTGCGCCGGGCAGGGAGCTGCAGCAGATTGTCTGTGATGGAGGCTGGGTCCTGTGTGAGGGGTGTGCGTGTGGCAGACCCAGGGGCTGGTGTGCTTGTGGGGGTCTGTGGCCCACCAGCTGGGGTCTTGAGGTGGGTAGAGCGTGCTGGAGATGGTGTATAGCTGGCCCGCAGGGCTCGATCTGTATACTTGCTGGCTGTCCTGCTTACAAGGCGCTGTAGAGCTGGGGACATTGCTGGACTTAGGCCTTTAGGAGTAAGACTGTAGAGAAGGGACAGAAGAAAGCAACCAAGTTAGGGGCCAAGTGCCGCTTAAGGCAAGGCCTCCCTCAGTTCCTCAGGAGGAGCCCTATCAAGAGACATGGTCACTCTGAGCTGAGGACGACAACACTGGCCACACCTGAGGGAGGCATTGTGGAACTGCTTTGGCTGTGAGGCTGGATGGACCACAGACTTCTGAGAGCTGGAGTGTCCACCTCTCTCCAATGTGAATGACATTGATTCCACAGGACTAACAGGAGCTCACAGTCAGGCAAGGAGCCTAAGGGTACCTCTTAGAGAAGGCCAAGAAGGAGAGATGGAGAGTGCCTCACCACCTGCTCCATATACAGCCACATGCTGGGGCAGAGAAGCAGCCACAGCCCTTATAGAAGAACCCTGTGGATATACCATGGGCCTGTCCTACAAGCCATGTACCACATGGCCTTGGAGGCTGAGAGAGTAGGAGTGAGGCAGGCACAAACTTATCTCTATCCCCACTCTACATAAGGGTCCAGCTGCCTCTCACCTGGCCAAGTTTTCCGTGACTCTCCGCAATGCTTCCTGCTTCTTGGCCCGGTTTTTGGCAGCTGCTTCATTGGCCATCTTCAGACCCAGACGCTCCCTGCGTCCTGGCTCCAAGATCTACAATGTAGCAGGCATGTGGGTGACCTATGCTGGAACTGCTACCTAGCCAGGCAGTCTATTATCCAGAAGGGCAGCTGTGTGGGCACCAACCTCTTCTCTATGGCTGCAACAATCTCAGCAACTCATCTTTCACAATAGCCTGTCAAAAGCCCCCACCTGGCTGGATGTAGTGACACATTCCTACAATCCCAGCAATTGGCAGGAGAGTATAGAATTTGAGGCCACCCTGGGCTACACAGTGAGACACTGTCTTAAAACAAACAAAAGCAAGATGGCTCAGTGGGTGAAGGTGTTTGTTAAAAGCCTGAGGACCTGGTTTGAATACCCTTCTGAGATTCCACAGGGTGGAATGAGAGAACCACTCTAGCAGGTTGTCCTCTGACCTCCACATATGTGATGTGTTACATGCCATGCTCATAAATGCTTATATACACAATCACACAAATGAATAAATGCAAAATAACCCAAAATAAGGGGTTGGAAGCTGGGACTAGTGGTGCATGCCTTCAGTCTCAACACTTGAGGCAGGATCTTTGTTCCAGGCAAATCTGAGTCACATAGTGAAACCCTCTCTCAAAAAACAAAAATAGTCAAAAAATCTAGTCCCAGCACTTCAGATGCTAAAAAGGGTAGAGAGTGTGTACATGAAACAGGTCCTGGGTTAAATCCCCAGCACCTGCCCCCCCAAAAAAAAATCCCAAACAAACACAACAACAAAATAAAAAACGGTTTGAACTATACCATCTAGTTGTTTTTACAATTATTGTTTTATATTTAAGGTTTTCACCGTTCTGGAACTTATTTTGCTGTTGCCAGTAATCAGGACGTAGTTTCAAAGGCCCTGCAATATGAAATACCGCCTTTTCCATAAACCTCCATTCTTCTGTTTGCCCCCAGCTTTCCATCCTGCTTGACACATGGGTAACACAAGGCACAGCAGGCTACGTCTACCCTGTCTCTGGCAGAGCCTGCCCCGGGTTCATTTTGTTTCAGAACTCTTTCTCCTGGAAGAGGCCACTTCAGATCAAGTGGCATTTCCTGTGCAGGCAGAGCCTTGGGCCATGCTTTCATGTTCAATAGCATCGTGTTTATTCCTCTCTTACATTTGTCTTGGTTATCTCACAATCCAGACACAGTCTACAACCAAGACCTCCAAAGTCTCTTTCCATGATTTGTCTAGGTGTGTAGTACATAAACTCTACAAACTGCTCTGGGGAAGGACCCACACAGCACCATGTTGGGGAGGTCCTCCTGGCTTGGGCCAGGAAAGCAGTGTCAGGACTGCAGTCCATGTCTGATATTTGCTTTATAAAAGCTATGCTATTCCTGGTGATTCTGATTCTACTGCTGCACTAACATGATCTCTTTCTACCACATTCCAAATTGATCACAGCCAGTATTTGGAGGGACTGTCTTGAGATGACCTGTGACCCAGCCACCAAAGCACACCTATATATTTACTCAACACTACACCTGATCTTGTTGGGTTTCCAAAGAAGATTCATATTCTTGGCCTAACTCCTCAATACCCCGAGTCAGTAGGCTCAGCACCCTCACAGTGAGCTCGTACATTCTCAAGTATCAGGGGCCTTCCTCCCTCACATTCCAACTACACAGACACAAACTCCCTGAAGCCCAGTACATTATACGCCCTTTCCCCATAGCTCCCAGGGGCATATCTGCCCACCCACCCATCCAATCCAGGGGCCATCTGACTTTTGTATATGCTTTCTGCCCACCTCTAGCTCCCGCTCCACCAGACAGAGGCCACATGATGTACACCAGGCCTCAGTGACTCATCCTTTCTGATCTGTTCTTGGTCCTACCATGCTGGGTTCACACTGTACCATCCTCAGTGTCCTTGACTATGCTATGTAACCAGAGGCCAGCACATAGTCCTCAGGGGACACACACTAAGTTCCATAGTCTTCAGGCCTACAGGGCAGTTGGAGTTTGTCTGACTCTGTGACAGTCTAGCCTCCAGGCCTTCTCTATTGCCTTGGCATGGTCTCCACTCTTCCAAATCCCTTTTTGATAGTCCTACCATAATCCCCTCTTCTACAGAAGCCCTGTGCCCAGTCTTGAGCAGCAGTACTAAGGCATCCACACCAAGTCCCAGCCTGATCCCCTCTTACCACAGCCTACCTTGAAAGTTGGTCCTGGTGTCCTATCCACATAGGGGCTCTCTGACCCTTCGACTCTCAGGGGAGTATTCTCAACTTCTCCCCACGTCATCAGTGGTGACTCATTCATACCTGCAGATGGAGAGCCCACACCTCAAACAGAGGACCTAGTGGGGGTGCTGTCTTTCTCCTAATACATGCATCCCAGATGACATTAAGGCCAACACACACAGGCACACCTATTCACATCACAGGGAAGACCAAACAAGACATGGTGCCCTGGGGCATCTCAAGGCACGTTTGCTGAGTCTAGCCTGTGCACTGCCCTGTCCAGTCTGGACTTATCACCCATTTCTTACCAGGAGCAGGAGAAGGAGTGGCAACAAATCCAAAGCCTCCCACTCGGGGGGACTCCTGAGGAATAAGCTCCTTGCCATCAGGACCAACCTTGCCCTGTTTGTGCTGGAATAGAGAAAGACAGAGAGACAGACCAGTGTTAGGGGTTCTCCACAGCTGACTGATAGCAGGTACAGAGGGACATGTAGGAAACACTTCCCCTTGGAATAGAGCTTGGGCTCTAGGACTGGCAGATCCCTTTGGGAAAGACAGGGAACCCTATCCTCATCTTGCCCCAAAGACTTTGAAGGTTAATAGTAGTAGTCATCAAGCAAGGGGTGCCCCTTTCCTCCACCTAAGGAGGAATCTCTTAGGTTGCAATGCTACGAAGGGCTGGTGCTGTCTTTTTCCCTTGAGGCATCTGAATCTCCCAATCTCTCCTGCCTCTCCTTCCCCAACCCCATGACGACCAGAGCCACTCTCTGAGGGCACTCAGTCATCTTAATCCCAGGCTCCCTCTGGCACTTCCCAGTACACACTGCTCTATTCACCTCTCTGCCTGGTAGATAGGTATGGGTCTGGGTTGGCTTCCAGAAGCTTCTCTTCTCCCAGGCCAACATCATAGCGGCTGGTACAGGAGTGGACCTTTAGGTCATATATCTGGCTCCATTGGAAGGGGCTAAAAAGAGACATGGGTCCTAGCACACAGAGGCTGTGTTAGTTTTGCACTTAAGCTCTATCTAGCCTCAGGACAATCCTAACAAAGGGAACAACCAAGATGGGAGAGGCCACACCTATGCACAGTTAGCCTATCACATTTGTCCGGTTGTCTGGTAGCTCTGCTGACTTACCTGGGCATTCAGGGCAGCTGCCTGCTGAAGCTGGGACCTGCTCAGGGCCTGACTGAAAGGGTCCCGGAGGAAACGTGTATTCTTATGCACTACCTGCCGTGGCTTCTTGAACAACTGCTCTTCATCAGGGACACCTATCAAAGGAAAAGCAAGGTAGCAGCCATCACAGGGGTGGGAAGTTCCATGCCCACCTCAGCCCTGCATCCTCAGCTAAGTCACTCCCAGCCAAAGACCACACCTATAGAATCCAAACACAGAAGTGGGGGAGGCCTCATTGCCCCACAAATGCCACAGGCTCCCCAACCCCGAGATGGACCAGGACTTCTCTTTGGTCCATGCTGCAAGTGAACAACTTTAAAAGTTGGTTAAAAAATAACAAGACAGACCACTGTAGTCCCTGTCTTCCTGTCCTGCCACTCATTTCTATTCACTTACCCTCAGGATAGTACATGAGAGAATTCTTGGCTTTATACTTCCAGGTCTCCACTCCAGCCTGACTGCTCTCAATGGCTTGGTGCTCTGCCGATGGGAGTTCAAGATTATCTTTCTGCCGCTATAGTGACATGGGAGGAAAGTGGGGTCAGGAAGTCACCCAGACCCTGTACCTGTGGCTCTGGGACTTCATCCCCCAAAAAGGTGCCTATATTTTCAAACTGCAGGGTTACCTTCTCAAATTCCTCCTCAGCTTGGTAGAGCCACGCATGGCGGGCATGGCTTTTTTCCTTGGCTACTTCCATGATCTCTTGGAAGGAGGCATTGTCTTCACTTGTGTAGCGGCTCAAGAAGACATCCAGGCTGGGCAGCGGCTCCTTCTCCTCCTCATCTCTAGCCTCTCCTGCTCAGGAGCCACAGGTAGGGAAACACAATACACATATAGCACAATTACCACTGCATTGCCAGTCTTGGGAACCACACCACAAAGAGCTGGAACCCTGGCTCCTGCTAGGTGACACAACAAACCCCAACTGTTCAGGCAGCCCCAGGTGGCATCCACAGCTGACTGGCCAGTTCCACTCATCTGCTGGATGCCAAGAGAAGTCTGTGATCTGGCTGACTGGTGAAGGGGCAGGGACAAACAATGAAGCAAGAGCTCATGATAACTGTTTAGTAGGCTCTTCCTCTGCCCAAACTTTACTAACCCTGTGGTACGGATCTCTGAAGCCCCAAGGGTTCTTCTTTCCTTCCTGGGATTGTCTTACCCTAACTACCTTTTCCTTTCTGACTGATGCTACAGGTAAGTGATGGTCACTAAGCATCAGGGTATGCCAGTTAATCCCAAAGGCAGGGGCCCATATGGCCCAATGCTCCAGGGAAGGCTACAGACTCTGGGCCACAAAAGCCAACCATACCACCTCAATCCCTGCCACCAAAGCAAGTGATATTCCTGTAGAGGTAGCAATGAAAATCTGGGTGGTAGGGGGGATGTGAAGCTGAGGGTTCTCATCTGTTCTACTGACAGTCTTGACCATCTGTGTGCCAGCCAGTACTAACCACAATGGCTACAAGTTTAAGACCTGAGGTTAGAAAGGGGATAGACTTGGGTCCCATTCAACTGTTGACTATTCCTAACACCTACAGAAGTCACAGCCTTTTGAAGCCTGTTTCCTTATCTGTAATTACAAAGATTCCAATGTTTACTGATAAAAATGTGTCTAAAAAGAGCATCTTCAAATTGCTCTGTGACTCTATACTGTATTTCAATTAAGAGACAAGATCCAACAATAACCATTACCATGTTCATGGCAGAAAAAGATGGGCTGTTGAGAAACTAAGCTTGTGTGAGCATGTTGCACATTTGCCCTAGTACAGTGTGCTGTAGACTAGAGCCTGGTAGAGAAACAGCTTGCCCACCTCTAGGAATACATCCTATTACTGAGAAAAAGATCAACTGACCGAGAAAAGTCCCATAAGTATGCAGCACACTCACATATTCAATAGATTTATAAAGTGTGGCTCCTAACTTTAAAACATGCCCCATACTTATGTCTGATGCTCAGGAAACATGAGCACTTTCATCTGTTCTCCATGTCTGTTGATGGTACAGCACACCATGTGCTATTCCAAACGTGGTGCAAACAGATAGAAGCAAAACCAAGACCCGGCTCTCTGAGAGGGCATCAAAATCAGTAATTAGGGTGAGAGGCAATAAGCAGAAATGCTTTCTGAGATGTTACATTCTGCAGTAAAGCACAAAGCTGGCAGTGTGGGAAACAGTGAGACTCTGGTCTCAACAAAACAAATCAGAAAAAACAAAGGCAGTCTGTGAAGCACAGAGCCCCAGGGTGTTCCAACTTTACACAAAAGGTCAGGAAACCTCAACATCCACCAAGTTTATGCCTCTTAGCCCAAACAGGTAACACCTGAATATGGACCTGAAGGAAGAGACACAACAAGCAACTACCTTGGAAGAAAGGAAGAAGGGGCCTGAGGCATCTTCAGGAGTCAGCAATGAAAGAGCTTTCCAGGCCCACAAAGCCTACAAGGCAAAGGCTGGCACACTGAACAGGCTGGTGACAGGAGATGGGCTCTCATTCCAGAGACAGGCCAGAGGCACAGACTACTGCTCTTCCACAACTGGGAGCTAGACAGATCTAGCTTTCCACACCAGTGTCTTTGATCCCAAAAGTTGATATTTAGGTTGGGAGACCCCTCAAGGATGAAATGTGATCCTGAGAAAACTCAATATGACTCCTAAGCACTCTTGACCATGAGACCAAAAGAGTGAGTTCACTCACCATCATCTAGGTCCCGGCCTTGGGGACGGAGCTTGCTGCCCACCACACCAGAGCCTGTGTGTACCTCAGGAGTTTCAAAGGTGGCCGGAGTAACATCTGAGGGAAGCAAATTAGAAATTAGAGGGAGTCTACAGAGACAACAAACTTCCCTTCTCTGCCTTCTAGAACAGCAACCTCTTACAGGGTGGTGGAGGTTCCCGAGAAATCTTGCCCAGAGCAGAGCCAAACTTGATAGCAATCTGGCGCATACGCTCCAAATCTCCATTTTCCTCAGCCTCCAGGTATTCCTTCTGTGCCTGTAGCTTCTCCACATCAGGGAAGAAATCTCTCTGGATGACTGTCTGGAGTCCCTGCCACAAGCAATCAGAACAAAAGGTCAGAGCTGGCATATGGGAGTCATGACACCATTATCCACTTTAGGCCCTAAGGTCCTTTTCACTTCTGCCTATCTGGATGATTGAGATTTTCAAGATAGTTCAGAAGCATTTTCTAGTACTGTTTTTCAAGACAGGGGTTTCTCTGGAATGCTTTGGAGCCTGTCCAGGAACTGGCTCTGTAGGCCAGCTGGCTTCAAACTCACAGAGATCTGCCCGCCACTGCCTCCCGAGGAGTGCTGGGATTAAAGGTGTGTGCCACCAACAACGCCCGGCTCGGAACAACCTCTTGATGCCCATAAATCCTTTCTTGTTCTCCTTTGCTGGTTCCATCTGCAGCAGCAGCCAGACTAATGTAGATGTTGCCTTTCTCATTCTACCTATGTATTTTTATTTCAATCCAAACCTTTCTCTTGAAAGCCAGTCACCACTACTGCCACCACCGGATAAAATTCTCAAGATTTCACCTCCGGCCAGACCTTGCTGTAGAGCTACAAATCTGTATACCTAGCTACGTGGCGATGATACATTCCAGCCTATCCCAGAAGCGTCCTAAATTCAACCGGTCTAAAGCCAGACCTATGTCAGTTTGCCCTCCAGCATACTTTGCAGTGGGACCCCTAACTCGAGGAGCAACCGAGACCCTCACTCAATAATACGGCCAGTACCGAGGTCTATCTCCAGGACCCCCCAGCCTTTACACTTAATGCCGCTGCCTTCCAGAAAGTCCTTTTCTCCATCACCCTAAAAACCTGTCAAAATTCTGCTCATACTTTAATAGGAAACTTTATTTCCTAGGCCCTCGACAGACAACGAGACCGCTCCTCCTTTTCGCTGAAAACTCGACACCCCCTTCCGCACTGTCGTCTTGGCTCTCAAGACTTTCCAATCCCACAGGCGGCTGAGAGTTCCAGTACCAGAAAACATTTAAAGGACCGGAGAGGAACGCGAATCGGGGAAAGGGCCCAGAAGTCGCCAGAGCTCGCACTGAGCTGGTACCTCGATGTACTCTTCTTCATCCAGAACCCGTTGCCTGCTTCTCGCAACCCCGGTTTCCCCAGCCGCACGCTTCCTCGGAGGGACAGACGCCGAGGGCGGAAACAGAGGACCCACAGAGGCCCCGGGCGTCCCCATCGCTATCCCAGAACCGCTCAGGCGCCGTTGGCGTCACACCAACAGCCAGCCAATGGAGAAGCAGTATTTTTGTAACAAAGCCGGCGCTCCCAAATGATGTCACCCGGAGCGCCGGATCTTAAGGGAGTTGTAGTCTTAGATACCCATCCGCGTTGCTCGTGCCTGTCTAGACTATGGTCACTAGGAGGCGCTGTGGGATGCCTACTTGACGCCACATTTCCTCTATTAGAAGTTCCAATTTTTCCTCAACAAAAACCAAAGTCGTTTTTAAATAGTTAAAAAAAAAAAAACAACTTGGTTATATATGAAGTCAAAACTCAGAAAAAGAAACACTAAGACAAGTCTTCCCAGAGAGTTGTCTAACAAAAGGTAAATGAAAAGAAGGAACAAGAGGGCGCTTAAAGCTCTGGTTAGATTTATTAGTTCCCTGCCTGCCAGGGTGGGCTTCCCAAAAGAGGCCTGTACTCACTGAAAGTATTCATGGTACTTCCATTCTAAGGGAGATCGTGAATTATGCCAAACCAGTTCTAGCCCAGAATGACTTGCCACAATTTTGCTTTTCCAATGATCTCTTCCTTCATTGGAAGTCAACTGGGGGCATTATGGCTATGTTCCTGCCCCAATGGAGTTGACCATAACACACACACACACACACACACACACACACACACACACACAGTCATCCTGCATGTGTGTGAAATCATGCCTGTGACTTGCAAGAAGTCTGTACTCAAGAGAATCTTGATTTCTACATAGCACATGTCATGTTGTGTTTTCCCAGGCAGAAGGTGATTGTAGATCCAAAACATGAACGGATAGGCATCAGCCAAGTGGAACTGGAAAGGCACGTGCAAAAGCCCAAGAGTGGCATGGAGCAAGGCAAATTCCCAAGCAGACCTTTGCTCACACCATTCAGTGAAGAAGGACATGATGGCAGAGGGGCAGAGCCAGTCTACCAGTGTCATTGGGGTCCTGGCAAGAAATACCATTTTTATTTTGAATTAAAGGGAAGCCAGAGCGGGTTCAGGTGAACATAACTAGAGAAAGCTGCAATGGTCTTGGTGCAAGGTGATGGCAGTTTTCCCCAGGTTAGTGTAGCTGAAGCTGCAGAAAAGCTGCTTTCTGGGGTTTATTGATATATTTAGAGGTGAAATTGGATGAACTTGGTGTGACAGAGGGCAATTGGTGATCAAGAACTGTGATTCATGTCCTTAAACAAGGCCAATGAACGGAGGACTGGCTCACCATATACAAAGCGAATGTGAGGAGGCGGTGGCTTTCCAAGTGTTGCCTGACAACCCCTGGGGACAGACTGACAGGGTATGGACATACTTAGCTCAGGGGAGAGGCCTGAACTGGAGATGGAAATATATGTGACATAGAGATGGGAATTACAATCTAAGGGTGGAAAAGATACATCAAGAAGAGAACCGAAGGTGGTGGAGAGATAGCTCATTCTTTAAAAGCACTCTTGCTCTTCCACAGGATCTGGGTTCAGTTCTCAGTACCTACATGATGGCACACAGTTCTAGTTCCAGGGGTTCCAATACCTTCTTCTGATTTCCACCAGCACCAGGCAAACATGTGGTACACATACATGCAGGCAGGCAACACACACACACACACACACACACACACACACACACACACCATGCACACAAAGACACACTCACACATTCACACACTCACAAACACACTCAAACACATGCAAGCACACACACAAATAAACACACGCACGATGTTTTTAAAGAAGAGAATGAAGATGGGAGAGGCCTTGAGATGGAACTTCTGGACACTTGTCAATGTCAGGTGTCAGGTGAGGAGTGTGAGGAGCCTCTGCAGGGCACGGTGACGATGAGAGGAGGGCAGAAGCTCAGCCAAGCTCAGATTCTGGAGAACCAAGGAGGACAGGGTCCCCAGTCTGCAGGTGAGCTGACCTGGACAGCTGTGTCTGAAACTAGACAGTGAAATCTTCTAAGGCAAGGCCAAAATTCAGGAGGAACAGTCTGGTGGCAGCCGTAAGTATGCATCCCAGGGACTGGGAGGAAAGTCCCTATCCTGGAGGTCTCCAGCAGTGTTAGGACAGCTCTGGCTGGGGATATATGCCTGTTTGGTGTTCTCTAAATTAGCCATCTTTATATAGTACCAAGACCTCCTGCCATTGGCTCTATAGTTTAGCTTTTGTGAATGGACCAAGTCTCTCGCAGACACCACAGCAAGCTTCAAGACCTGTGAGGGGACAGAGCAAGGAGATCAGGCAGGTGTAGGGGGTGTTAGCTGCCTCCAGCCCACTGCACAAGTCAGCAGGGAATGGAAGCCATCTTTCATGCTTAGTATACCCCACACACTTCTGTGGGGCCTGGATTACAGAGGGGAAGACAGACATTTCCTAACATAGTGGGGATGGATGTTCCCTGAATTTAATCTCTTCACCACCCTATTGGCAGATACTACTGTATGAAAACCTCCAGGGAAAAAAAAAGCCAAACATCTCCCATTTGTGAAGCAGGTTGGTAGTACCTGGAGGCCATAGCAAATCCCAGGAGGCCTGCCACCATCTTCTGGCTTTAATTCTGATGGGGAAACACGGTACTGGGACTGAGGACTTGTTGAGCTGTGTTCTCTAAGACATGTTGATCCCCAGTTCCCTGGGAATGGGGAAGGGAGACAGCTCCTAAATAGCTGTGGAAATGGAGCCTGAGACATGGCACTTTTGATTCTGGACTGTTTATGGTATTTGTAGATCTCGTTTATTTCTTGGTATTGGCACAAGGCTGAGATGAAGGAGCAGGTGCAGGGACCTGGAAAATACCAACTATAGCCTTCTTATTCTACTGCTCCTGATACCATGGTCCAGTACAGAACCTTTGAGGACAGAGTAATCCCAGGACTGTGCAGATACCACTGCCCTGCTTAGAAGGTGGAAGAATACATAAGGGGCCAGTCTTGGAGGCAGGCATGAGGTGGCGAGGTAGCCTCCACTATAAAAGACTTTGGGTCCTGGATGGAGTTAGGAGGTCTCTCTAGGTGGTAATGGTGCTTGAGGAAGTTGCTCTATGCCTGCCCTTTACCTGCAGAGGTCCTGCCCCATGTGTCTCCCTTCATAGGGGAGGAGGTCTTGGATCCCGTCTGTCCCAACACCTGGCAGCTGAACACTGCAAGAGAGTGATGGAAGGGGCTTCTGTCCTCTAAGTTTCTGTCCAAGTAGGTCTGCCCCTTCCTACTTTGCTGGGCTCCACGTCACTGCCGAAGTCAGGAGAACTCTGGACACCATCAACAGCTCTCCTTGGGAGGTTTCTTGGTTCCAGGCAGGAGCCTCAACGATGAAGCACGCTTTTGATGTCGCCACTTGGCCCGGCGATTCTTGAACCAGACCTGAGGAGGAGGGGGACCAGGAAGGCTCAGGCTCCACAGACCCACACCCAAAGAATTTCAAAAGGGCTGATAGGCGGGCCAGGTGGTAGACTTCACCACAGAAATGTACGCGAATGGACCTTCGTCACCTCCTCCTATCCACACACAGAAAAGGATCAAAGAGTCCCCACATGGAGATTTCCTAGTCTCCCCAGTAGCAATCAGGATATCTCTCCTTGTCTCCAGTCTCTCTTTAAGTCACACATAATCTAGGCAGGCTTCTAACTCGCTATGTGTCAAGGATGACTTCAATGAACTCATGGTTCTGTCTCCACCTCCCCGAGTGAGGACTACAGACGTGTGCCACCATGCCTGGCTAGTTTTGCCCATCTCTTAACTTTCCCACATCTGGAGCACGAATGAACCTATCTTTCATCGTCAGGGGAAACGGGGAAGACAGACAAAGTCGGAGAAAACTACTCTTAACCCCTTCTAGTTCCAGTAACACCCAAAAGACCTCCTGGGGGAACTGTTCTTGCGCCCTATCCACTGATCCTGGGAGTTTCCCTTCAGCGTGGAGGGCTATGAGGAGAGGCACGGCCTGGAAGGTCGGTCTTTGAAAGAGAAGATTGACACCAGAGTTGGCCTCCAGGCTGCGGGACGGGACGGACACCCACCTCCACGCGCTCCTCCCGCAGGCGGATGCGGACCGCCAAGCGCTCGCGCGTGCCCACGTCGGGATACTGGTTCTGTACGAAGAGCGCCTCGAGCGCCTGCAGCTGCTCCTCGCTGAAGATGGTACGGTGGC